AACAGCATGTGAAATTTATTGTCAATCAGTGTTGCTTCCTAAGTGGACAGTTTGATTTCACAGAAGTGTGATTGACTTGGAGTTACATTGTGTTGTTTAAGTGTTCCCTTTATTTTTTTGAGCAGTGTATATATATACACACACACACACACACACACACACACACACACACACATTAACAAAATATAATGAAATAATGCAGGGCATGATAACAGACATAAAAATATAATATTTGTGCGCAACAATTTCCATTTTCTTTAGTGAAAGTACAGCTTTTCCCAAAATACAATATAGACTATCAACAGCAATTGAAACAATGGATCGAATGATTTTAAGAAAATGAAAACAGGATAACAATGCCTTCCCAGACTCATTACTAAGTACTCCAGGTCTGACTTAAAGGGTTTAAGCAAACATCTAAATATTTTATCTATTTACACCCAATATCAAGAGAGCACAAAACAAACAACAAACACATGACATTTGTCTATCTATCAGTCAAGTTAAACGGGAAAGTCCTTCGGTTTGCATAAATACGCTCACAGTCAGAGGAAAAGTGGGGTACAGTACTCAACATGGAACTCTTTCACATTAGCAGAAAAGTTAGGGTTTTGTGTTATGTCATACTAATCTTGCTTTGCTGATGAAATTCACATACTGTATCTAGCATCCTATCTTTCACTACACCCTCCAGTTTTCAGTGGCTCTAAGCTTTGGCATTACACTCAGGGAATAGCACTTTTACAGTACTTGACAACCCATTCAAAAAAGTATGACTGTCAGTTAATGTTTCCACTAAAACCAATCCCTTCCTTTTGTCAAATCTTTGACCTATCCTTGGACATATGTACTAAAACCAACAAAACAGCATATCTAGTGAGCCAACAGTTGTTCAGGTAACATGTATTGTCCATTCATCACACAGCTAGGGTAGTTCTACAGGTATACAGACAGGTAAGCTCCAGTAGTTCTACAGGTGTAGTTCTACAGGTATACAGACAGGTAAGCTCCAGTAGTTCTACAGGTGTAGTTCTACAGGTATACAGACAGGTAAGCTCCAGTAATTCTACAGGTGTAGTTCTACAGGTATACAGACAGGTAAGCTCCAGTAATTCTACAGGTGTAGTTCTACAGGTGTACAGACAGGTAAGCTCCAGTAATTCTACAGGTGTAGTTCTACAGGTGTAGTTCTACAGGTGTTTAGACAGGTAAGCGCCAGTAGATATGCAGGTGTACAGCAGGCTTGGTCCTGGTGGCCACAGCTGGCGCCATCTAGTCATCATGCTGCTCAAAACATAATGGGATGGGAAACAGTTAAGTTTCAGCAATGTCAACATTTCTGGGCCATATGACTCTAATCTGAATTTCTTACTGCCGTTATGCACAAATATTGAGAAAATGCCTCCCCCTGGTGGTCTCTAAGAGGACATTACTTTATTGTTGAGATTGAGAGCTGAATCCTGACTTGAGACATAACAAGTGCATTTTGGGGAAAATATTCCATTAAACTGTGTAGGGTATTTACACAAATGTACAAAAATATGCAGTAGGAAGTAGATAACATTTGTGATGAAGTTTGATGAGGAAGGTTTATAGACTTACCTCAACTATCTGTAATGGGTACGCATGAAGATCGCCGTGAGCGGTTACACATGTTCTTCTGTAAAACACAGAGGCAAAACACAAAGTCAATAATTGATAACAATAAGAAACAAAAACACTTCCTAACCTCAGCAAACCAATCAGTGCCTGTTTTAAAAATAGAACTACACCACTTCATAATATAGGGATTTTCTCTGTGGTAGTAAGCTGTGATAGTCCCATACTAAGTTTCAAGTTTTAATGTCACATGCACAAATACAGTGAAAGCAAGCCTTCATTTGTTATTTAAAAAAGTTCAGGGTGCAAAATGTAATCAGCAATGAAAAATAAGGCAGATGTCCGCTCATTTATTGCCTCTTGGACAAAGGAATATGGATTCGTTTTACTGAAGGACCGGTCTGTTTGCGCTCTCTGTTGTAAAACTGTTGTTTGTCGGACATCAAGTGTACGGCGTCATTTTGAAACGAGACATGAGAAAAACTTCAAGGATGAGGCGGACAAGGCTGAAGGAATCAAAAGGCATAATCACCTCAAAGATTAAAGACATGCCTGTGTCTGCCAGAGTGTGGATGTGAATGACATCCCACATCTGGCAGTTGTTGCATGATACTGTGACTCAGAGCAGGTCCTCTGTAGCTCAGCTGGTAGAGCACGGCGCTTGTAACGCCAGGGTAGTGGGTTCGATCCCCGGGACCACCCATACACAAACAATGTATGCACGCATGACTGTAAGTCGCTTTGGATAAAAGCGTCTGCTCAATGGCTTATTATTATTACGTGAGGAGCTGCTTTGTCTAAAACCCATGCATGGTACTACTAAAGGGGAAGATGTAGCAAAATCCTTCACAGATCATTTTGAGGAGAGAGGTGGCGATATTAAAAACATATTCGCTATTACAACTGACGGTGCCATGCTATGGTGGGGAAACATAAAGGATTCGCAAAGCTGAAGATAGGATTGGCCACCCCGTGGTTAAATGTCACTGTATCATTCATCAAGAGAATCTGTGTTCCAAGATCAAGGTTGTGGTGCTAATGGACAGCGCCTCTGTTTAGCGAACTATGGAAGTCTTCCGTTTGTGGGCAATTAGATATTCAATAGACACAATTAGTTGTAATGCACATATGAAGATCGTTAGAAATTGTAGGATAAATTGTAAATTGGCACTCCACACAAAAAAAGGTTGCCGACCCCTGATATACATGGACAGTTCCAATACCATATTTACAATGTGCAGGGATACTGGAGTGATGGAGGTAGATATGTATAGGGGTAAGGTGACTAGGCAACAGGATATAAGATAAACAGAGTAGCAGCAGCTTGTATGTGAGTGGGTGTGCGTGTGTGTAGAGTCAGTATAAATGTATGTGCATTTTATGTGTGAGTGAGCAGAAGATGGAGTGAGTGTGTGTGTGAGTGTGTAGGGTCCTGTAAGTGTGCTTAGAGAGTGCAAAAATAAAAATAAAAGGTCAATACTATGACCTCTATAAGGAGTGAGTAGGTGTCCTGTACCTTTTCATGAAGTCGGTGATGGAGGACTGGGTCAGAGAGCCAAGGATGCCTCAGCGCTTCAGAGGCACCTATCCTCCAACTGCACAATAACACACATACACAAACACAAACATTGAGATAAATGTATAAACAGATTTAACATCTCTGTCTCTTGGCAGACTGTCCCCTTAAAGATAGATTTTTAACATATTGCAAAATATACTTTATATATTAAGCAATATATTGTGGAAGAAGGCAGATGTATGCAGGGGAGAAAGTAAGACGGTACGGTTCGGTACGCCGTCCCGGCAAAATAAATAGTGGGAGCCCTTTGAAGTGATTGTTTGATCAGATGAAAACATCATGACTGGTTGTGTTTATGCCACATTAAAAGGTAAAAGGTAAAGTTAAATGACAAATCTTTATGATTAGGCCCACAGAGATGCTATTGAATTTATAGGGATTCTAAATAGAATTCTATGATTATGCCCTCACGGCCAGCCCGCCCATTAGGCAGGATTAGGCACCCGCCTTGAGTGGCAGTTTGACGAGGGAGGCCTTTTCCGAGCTAAACTGACCAAGACGCACCTCCAACAACACATAACACCTCACATTATTCTGCCTAAAAACAATGATAACTTCTCTCACCCAGTGGCATGAGGGCTATTTAGGTGAGCACTGATGCCACCCCATGATAATCAGTGCCCATTTTGTCCATGCCCAGCACACCTCTCCAGGCTGCTGTTGGAGAGACGCAGCGCTGCAGTGCTCCACCAACGCTCCATCAAATTAATTTAACATAAATGATGTAGCCTACGGTGGAAAGAGTAGCAGCCTATGTGTTTTTTCTGTAGCTCATAGACTGGAGACCAAATGTATAACAATGTCATGAGACAGACACTTTTTAAATCATTAACTTATGAGGAAGTCAAATAAAAAGGCAAATGGGCAGACATCAGCTTTGGCGCGGCTGCGACATAATCAAACAGAGGTGGACAGTAATTATTTTCAACAATTGTCTTCATTTTAATTCGAATTCACTAACAACAAGAGGAGCCTATTTTCCTATTCAAAAAAATAAGAAGTAGGCCTACCTGTTTGACAGACGCAATTATGCTATCCATAGATTTATCTGTATAGCTAAATCCTGCAAAACTGTCACCATGCATTCCTTAAATACCTCCGTGTCTGGGAAGGGCTTGGTGGGTTTGGTTAAAACCAGGGCTCAAATTGAGTGAGAAAAGGGCAAAAAGGATACCTATTGTTAGCTTTATATTTTGAAATAAATAAATAAAAAGTATCCAGATAATATGAAGCGTTTTATAACAATGCTTAACTCTGTGATGCCTTATGCTAGAAACAAGCTTTAAAATGCCCAAAAAAGATGTGACTGATGACATTCTGAAGCTGAGCTGCAGCCTTCAATATTTGAGGAGACAAAACATTTACTTTGCTATTCTGTCCCTATTAATTGAGCTTTTCACTTTCTGAAAAGAGATGTTTAAACCCAGGCAGCTTTTAAGGAAGCACTTCTGTTGTTGGGTTAAGCAACGGATGAGTAGCCAGCAGTTGAAGCTTAACATTTACTGTGTCGGTTGAGCCTCTGTCTGGGTGGAAAGGTAACTTTGAAAGTGCCTTTCTTAAATTCATATGGATGTCTAACATTTCATTATTTGCAAACAGCAACCGTTTCGTTGCAAACAAGACACTCTGGTTTGACATTGGAGGAATATTGTAAGAATGCCTATTTCTCTGTCCATTCTTATGTGAAACTTCTAGTTATTATCCACTTTTCTTTGTAGACTTTTTCAATGACATTTTCTCTTGATTGCAATTGATTGCAATTAACATTTTTGTTTAATTTGTAGCAAAGGCCTATGAAATTGGCCTACTATTATGTTCTGTTCTACCGACTATTAGCTGAGAAGAAAAGCAGAACGTCCAGAGCCGGTCCTGTTAGGCCCATAAATGTTTTGGATGCACGCGCGTGCACACATAGGAGGTCCCATACCGGGAAGAAATTAAATCTACTTTCACCCCTGGATGCATGATACCTTTTATTGACGATGAGTAGTTTGGAGATGAAGTCTTTGGCCTCCTCTGAGATGTCTGTAAACTCTTCCTCGTCAAAGTTCCACTGGCAGGCCAGGATGTTGTTCAGAGTCTCATTGTTATTGTCACCCAGGAAGGGACACAGACCACTGAGACTGTAGAAGGAGAGGAAGAACCTTTAGTGTGTGTGTGTGTGTGTGTGTGTCTGTGTGTGTGTCTGTGTGTGTCTGTGTGTGTGTGTGTGTGTGTGTGTGTGTGTGTGTGTGTGTGTGTGTGTGTGTGTGTGTGTGTGTGTGTGTGTGTGTGTGTGTGTGTGTGTGTGTGTGTGTGTGTGTGCTTACAGCATATATGTAATGACTCCCAGACTCCACATGTCGGTGTTGAATGACACAAAATCATAGTTGACAACTTCTGGGGCCAGGAACTCTGGGGTGCCGAAATTCACTTGCAATTTCTCTCTGGGATTGTATCTGGGAGGAATACATGTTCATTTTGAATAGGAATCTATTAATACAAATACAATATTATAATACTGTATGCAGTGATACATCAAATGATCTACAATTATCTGAATGAAACCGAGATCGATGTGAATTTGAAACCTACTTTCTGGCAAGTCCAAAGTCAATGATCTTGATTTTATTCGTGACTCTGCTCACACATAGAATATTCTCAGGCTGAAAGACACAACAAAAAAAGGAAACCCTTCAAGGTGAAGAAATACCAAGACACAGGTAGACAAGTGGTTATCTGTTGTGCACAATCTGTATTGCCATGCTCTCAATAACATCAGTGGCTACAGACAACAATTAACTCTGGCACTGAACACTGAAATGTTGATTTATGTTCACTGCCCCTGTCAAATACAGTGCGGTTGTTTACCTTGAGGTCTAGATGTAGGATGTAAATCTTGTGCATGTGCTGCAGGCCCTCACAGATCTGCCTGATGAACATGACCGTGTCCAGCTCCATCAGAGTGTAGTTCTCATCGATGATCCGGTCAAAGAGCTCCCCACCATCCACACTGCAATCACACACACAAAAACACATTGTACACTCTCAGAAAAAAGGGTACGGTTAGGGGGTACAGTATTATTCCCTGGGGTACAAAAATATCAAAATACACATAATATACATTCAGAGGTACACATATGATCTCACATGGTACTGTTCGGTACTATGTGCGGATAATCTAGTATAATGGTACATTTTTGTATCCAATATGTTTTATGTGAAAGGTACAATCATTGGAGGCATGGCTTAGTGGAGGTATGGCTTTCAGTTAGTTATTTTTGCCCACCCGTGAGTGGAAGTGTTGTACCTATGGTTATGTTAAGGTTATGGTCTATGGTTATGTTAGTTTAGTTTTAGCATGTCCGCTGCATGTTCTGAAGTCTTTAATTAAGGCTTACATGAGTTCATGTAACAATAAAGAGCTGTAATAAATATTATAGCGACCTTAACACAACATTGAGCGACCTTGTCAAGAGGAACAGACCTCTTGTCGTAATGGTTCATGTGTTGGCTTGACAGTTGCTGGACCCAGTCCCGGTCGGGGCTACCCTTAGAATTTGTTACATTGGTGTCAGAAGTGGGATGGCGGAGAGGCGTGTACACGTGAGGGACTTGGCATAGAGAAGAGGTACATTTTTCCAATTAAAAGGAACAAACGGCTTTGTCACTGTGGTTGTACTCTAAAAAGACAAATGTGTACCTTTTGTCTCCTTTAAGGTATGAACTGCAAGGGTACATGTGATGGGCATTCTGAGTCTTTTTCGATGAGCCAGATTATGTTGCTCTGTTCAGGCTCCCAACCAGCTCTTCATTCAAAATGCTTAAAAATCTACCTACAACCATGATATATATATTTTTTTTATCTCTTATACAAAGCCCAAAAGTAGCCTACTATTATGATAGATTGTGAAATGCGCTTTTAGAAATGTTTTACGCACTTCAAAAATGAGCGTGGACCAGAATGACACACTCTCCCCACTATTTATTGTTTCTGCAGTGAGGATTCACCATCTGTCAGAGTGGTGTGTGTGGATGAGTAAAAGGAATCAAGCGCAGGAACCAGGATGACTTCAACAGACTTTAGTAAGTTCCAACACAATAAATGAGTCGCCAACCCAACCGGGCGGCGCGAACAATTACGCACGAACAAAGTGCGGAAAAACAAGAAAAGCGCACGCAGTGCGAACTCTCGAAAACACAACGACGAGAGACTCAAACTCCTTAGAGGCAGGCTGACAATAAACAATCACGCATAACACCTGACCCAAACAAACGAAACTAAATAGGGAACATCATCAAACACAAACAAGGGACAGGTGTTACAAAGAGACAAAACCAAACGAACATGAAACATAGAACGGTGGCAGCTAGTACTCCGGAGACGACGACCGCCGAAGCCTGCCCGAACAAGGAAGAGGAGCAGCCTCGGCCGAAACCGTGACAGTACCCCCCCCCCCCTTGACGCGCGGCTCCAGCCGTGCGCCGACCCGGGGCTCGGGGACGACCCGGACGACGCGGAGCAGGGCGCGCAGGATGACCCCGATGGAACTCGGTCAGCAGGGACTGGTCCAATATGTCCCTCCTTGGCACCCAGCACCGCTCCTCCGGGCCGTACCCCTCCCACTCCACGAGATATTGAAGACCCCCCATCCGGCGTCTCGAATCAAGGATGGACCTCACGGTGTACGCCGGAGCCCCCTCGATGTCCAACGGGGGTGGAGGAGTCTCCTCAATCTCAAAGTCCTGGAGTGGACCAGCTACCACCGGCCTGAGGAGAGACACATGGAACGAGGGGTTAATATTCTTGTAATCAACAGGTAGTTCTAACCTGTAACTCACCTCGTTCAATCTCCTCAGGACTTTAAAGGGCCCCACAAACCGCCGACCCAGCTTCCGGCAGGGCAGGCGGAGGGGCAGGTTTCTGGTTGAGAGCCAGACTCGATCTCCAGGTGCGTACACTGGCCCCTCACTGCGGTGTAGGTCGGCGCTCGTCTTCTGTCGACGTATGGCACGCTGCAGATGGACGTGTGCAGCGTCCCACGTCTCCTCCGAGCGCCGCACCCACTCATCCACAGCGGGGGCCTCGATCTGGCTCTCATGCCATGGTGCCAGAACCGGCTGGTACCCTAATACACACTGAAAAGGGGTTAGTTGGGTGGAGGAGTGGCGGAGAGAGTTCTGTGCCATCTCGGCCCAGGGCACATATCTCGCCCACTCCTCCGGCCGGCCCTGACAGTATGACCTCAGAAACCTACCCACATCCTGGTTAACACGTTCAACCTGCCCATTACTCTCCGGGTGGTAACCCGAGGTAAGGCTTACCGAAACCCCCAACCGTTCCATAAATGCTCTCCACACTCTGGAGGTGAACTGGGGGCCTCGGTCAGACACTATATCCTCGGGTACCCCGTAATGCCGGAAGACATGGGTAAACAGAGCCTCTGCGGTCTGTAGGGCAGTGGGTAGACCCGGCATGGGAAGGAGAAGACAGGCCTTCGAGAACCGATCCACAACGACCAGGATGGTAGTATTCCCCTGTGAGGGGGGAAGGTCGGTAACAAAATCCACCGAGAGGTGGGACCAGGGTCGTTGTGGAATAGGCAGGGGTTGTAGCTTACCCCTGGGCAAATGTCTGGGCGCCTTACACTGGGCACACACCGAACAGGAGGAGACATAAATCCTCACATCCCTAGCTAACGTTGGCCACCAGTACTTCGTGCTAAGGCAGTGCACTGTCCGGCCGATACCCGGATGGCCAGAGGAGGGGGACGTATGAGCCCAACAAATGAGGCGATCGCGTACCTCGAGCGGAACGTACGTCCGACACACTGGACACTGTGGAGGACTTGGGTCAGTGCGTAACGCCCGCTCGATCTCGCCATCAACCTCCCACACCACCGGTGCAACCAGACAAGACTCTGGTAGTATGGGCGTAGGCTCAACGGACCTCTCCTCCGCGTCATACCGCCGAGACAGAGCATCTGCCTTCCCGTTCTGGGACCCAGGGATGTATGTGATCTTAAACACAAACCGGACTAGAAACATAGTCCAGCGGGCCTGGCGAGGATTCAGTCTCCTAGCTGCCCGGATGTACTCCAGGTTACGATGGTCAGTTAGAATGAGGAAAGGGTGTTGAGCCCCCTCGAGCCAATGCCGCCACACCTTTAGGGCCTGTACCACGGCTAACAGCTCCCTGTCTCCTACGTCATAATTCCGCTCCGCCGGACTGAGCTTCTTTGAATAAAACGCACAGGGACGGAGTTTAGGTGGAGTGCCAGAACGTTGGGAAAGAACGGCCCCTATCCCGGCCTCTGACGCGTCCACCTCTACCTGGAACGGTAAAGAGGGATCCGGATGCGCCAACACCGGCGCCGAGGTAAACAGGTCCTTCAGTCTCCCAAATGCCCTGTCCGCCTCAGCTGACCACCGCAAGCGCACCGGACCCCCCTTTAACAGAGACGTTATGGGAGCTGCCACCTGTCCAAAACCCCGGATAAACCTCCGGTAATAATTCGCAAAACCCAAGAACTGTTGCACCTCCTTCACAGTGGTTGGGGTCTGCCAATTACGCACAGCTGACACCCGGTCTACCTCCATCTTCACCCCTGACGCAGACAACTGGTAACCCAGAAAGGAGACCGACTTCTGAAAAAACAGACATTTCTCTGCCTTGACATATAGGTCATGCTCCAACAGCCTCCTCAATACTCGGCGCACCAGGGCTACATGCTCTGCTCGGGTAGGACTGTACACCAGAATGTCGTCGATGTACACGACTACTCCCTGTCCCTGCATGTCCCGGAAAATCTCATTGACGAAGGATTGGAAGACTGAGGGAGCATTCATTAACCCATATGGCATGACTAGATACTCGTAGTGTCCGGAAGTCGTGCTAAACGCTGTCTTCCATTCATCGCCCTCTCTAATGCGCACCAAGTTATATGCGCTCCTGAGATCCAATTTTGTAAAGAACTGCGCACCGTGCAGTGACTCCGTCATAGTCGCAATCAGAGGAAGTGGATAGCTGTACTTCACCGTAATCTGATTGAGACCGCGGTAATCAATACACGGGCGCAGACCTCCATCCTTTTTCTTCACAAAAAAGAAACTCGAGGAAGCGGGTGAAGTGGAGGCCCGTATGTATCCCTGTCTAAGAGACTCAGCGATGTACGTCTCCATTGCCTTCCTCTCCTCTTGAGACAATGATACACATGGCTCCGCGGGAGAGCTGCTCCTGACTGGAGATCTATCGCACAATCCCCCCGTCTATGAGGCGGCAGCTGCGCCGCACTAGTCTTACTAAACACCAGTTTCAAATCCTCATACTCGGGGGGAATATGCAGTGCTGTCATTAGATTCGGACTTTCCACCGAGGTCGCCCCTATGGAAACACCCAGACACCGCCCCTCACACTGGGCAGACCACCCTTTAAGAGCTTTCTCTCGCCACATAATAGTAGGGTCATGGGTCATCAACCAGGGAAGGCCCAGCACTACCGGATACGCAGGAGAGTCAATCAGATAGAGCTGAATCGTCTCCTCATGACCCTCCTGCGCCATCATCTGAAGGGGTGCTGTGACCTCCCTAATCAACCCAGACCCTAACGGACGGCTATCTAGGGCATGAACAGGGAAAGGCTTATCAACTGGAAGGAGGGGAATCCCTAACTCTATACAAAACTGGCGATCTACAAAATTCCCAGCTGCGCCTGAATCTACCAGCGCCTTATGCTGGGAACGAGGTGCAACCTGTGGAAAACAAACAGGCAAGGTTAGGTGCACGACAGAAAGCTCTGGGTAAGTAGGGCGCCTACTCACCTGGGGGGACCCCCCAATGCGTGACCTGCCTTCTCCTCCACCGGGGGACCCTCCCCAACACCTAGCCGCGGTGTGCCCTCCACGGCCACAGTTAGTGCAGGGAACAACCCCCCTCGGGTTCCTACTCCTCCGTTCTCTAGC